GTTGAGGTAGTTGGAAAAGACCCTGATTGCTCCATAAAGAAGTTTAAAACTTGTTCTGTGGGAAATGCGGGGCGGGGGGAATTTAATAAGGGGATTGAATTAAACAGCTTTAAAAAGGTAACTCTAGTAAGAATGTGGAACCCAGATTGGATTGATGGAGACTGTATTTATTTACCCATCTACCTGGAAAATCTAAGTCCCAGCCACTTACACAAATAAGTTATAAAAACTCTAGCACGCTTTCTCTACCCAAGGCCATCGGTTTAACTAAGTTGATGCATGAAACAAACGATTAGTGCAATTAGATTTGCATTTTCACTGACCAGATGTTTCAGTAAACACACACAACTATGACTATTTTGTTACTCTACGCTATTTACTATACCATTCTCCACAAGATTCATGAACAGTCGGAGATTAAATATTAAGATTTTACATTCCGTGTCAACGTTTATTGAGTTCCCCGTCCTCTAAGGAGATGTAGTCAAAACTATTGCTTCCACAGTACAAGTGAACACAAATTGAAGCTTGAAACACAAAGAGAAATTAGCCAAACATTGTACTTTTCGCTCTGCATCCAACATATAATACATCCACATATTACTGTGTTTGCTTCCCATCTCAAATAGTGCTCCTGTTTCCAAGAGTCCAGTAAAATTAATCTACCTCCTCACTGGGAGGAATTAGACTGTAATCAAAATTCAGTTACGATGGCATTTATAATTGTGTATGTGTGTGTTTTACTTTATTGGAAAGGAAACAGCCTGGGATTTGGAGACTTGGGTCCATGTCTGAGTTCTACAAAATTGAGCTTAGTGTACTTAGACATATCAGTTAAATTTATTGGATTTCAATTTCTTCAAGCAAAAAATAAAGGAGTTGGATTATTTCCCTTCCTTGCCTAAGGCTCTAAGATACTATTCTTTTTTTCTGTCTGCTTCATTATTGTGTGCTTTCAATCTTTCGTAAATCCCATAATCTACGTGGCAAAGGATTCAGCTTAATCTCAGGCTGTGTGCACTGCTGTGGTTCAGACACGTTGGGATATATTTGTCAAGCTAGTGGGACAGACTGCAGAAGAGGGATGAATGCATTCCATGTGAGTAGACTGCTTCAGTTTAACAAGGAAAGAGTGAGCATCGCGCTCTTGGTTAATAAGTGTTGGGGAGATTAAAAGTGGAAAGGACAGGAGAGACACTTTCTGCTGAGTTTGAAGTCTCAGTTTGAAGTCCCAAACTGAAAGGAAAGTGATGCTTACAGCCTCTAAGAATAAAGCACGACACTGAGCAGGGGAGAGAAACATTTCTGTTAAGAACAGAGCATTTGATGAACCCATGTTCTGGCAACTCCCAGAAATAACACAGAGCAGACGAGGAGACTAAGTTTTTCCATTAAACACATGGGCCACAAGCAAGTAAAATGATTAAATTAATGCTTTACATATTAATCAAGCCTATACACGCAAGCCAATGGAACTGGAGAATACTGAAATTAAATTTGACCATGATATCATCAGCAGTAGTGGATCCTTTCCGCTTTCTCTGAGGATAAAGTTTTCATCTTCAACAGTGTGGGAGGGACAGGCAAAGCTTGGGGTCAGAGGTGCCTCTGGCTCTGAAGTCTTGTTTTTCCTTCTCCCTTCTCCCATTTAGACATACTTCTTTCTCTGAGCTCCCACCATAGTTGTTTGCACCTGTCTTAAATAATGGTATTCTTCTTTTCGAACAATAATTTTATATGTATTGGTCTTACTTCCTAATTTTTGAGCTAGCTCATTCAAAGGCAGAATCTTATTAATTTTTAAGACTTTGCAATAATGTTTAACTTTTCTAACCTGTCAGGAGCAATTGATACACTTGGTCCACACCCTCTTTCTAGTATAACTTTTATCAGTGAAATTCACAGATAAGATGTTCCCACATCTGTCCCTGTTTCTTCTCCCCCTCCTTTACTAGTGCTCTCCTCATCCTAACAGTTCAGTGTGCCTCCAGGCTCTCTCATAACTCCTCCCATGTACTCGGCATCTCCATAGGAAAATCCAAAAGGCATCACAAACTTAAGATATCCAAAAATGAACTCTTAATTTTCCGTCCTCCATATTCCCCCCAAACTTAGCTCTTCTCATATGCTAATTGCTCAGGCCCCAAATCTAGTATTCCTCCTTGACTTTTCCACACATTTAAACAAGTCCATCCATGTATCCATGTATGGAAACACACACTGAATCTAAACACTCCCCAATTCCTCACCGTCTCCCGAGTCCGGGGCATTGTGATACCCTCCTAGTCCCTCTGCACCTGCTCTTACCTCTTGCAATCAGATCAACAGCCAGCATGATCCTCTAAGGACATAAATCAGATCTCATCACCCTGGTGGCCAAACTCTTCAGGGTTTCCATTCCAAATGGCACAAAATCCAAACTCTTCTCCCTTGTGAGGTCACCTCCTATCTCTCTGAAACTCATTGCCTACCCCTCTCCCCACTTTGGCTCTCTCCACTCCGTGCTCAAATTATTCCTATTTCACAGTGTTTGTAGTCACTGTTCTCTCTGCCTAAAATGGTCTTCTTCCAAATCTTCACGTGGCTGTCTGCTTCATTCATTTCTCCAATCAAATAGCACCTCCTCAGAGAGGCCTTTTCCTAACCTCTTAACTATAATAGTTTTCCCACCTACAGCTTCCCTCTATACGCTTAGCTGCTTTAGCTGTCTCCATAGCACTATCACCATCTGGAATTGTGTTATATATTCTTTTTGAACATTATCTGTTTTCCCTATAGAATGTAAAGTACCTAAAAACAGGAAATGTGTCTGTTTTATTTTTTGTGTATACAGCACTCAGGACAATGCTGACATGTGGCAAGTCCTCAAGAATATTTGTTAAGTTAATGGATGACTATTCTCCCCAAACCTCTATTCTCTCTGCCCTGTCTTGGTAGGTGGCACCACTTCTTATTCTTCCTCCCATGAAACCTGGAAGTAATCATGGCCTCTGTCTTCCTCACTACTCAAATCCAGCGTGCCCCCCATTTCTACTCACTCTCCCTCCTGGAAACCTTCCCCTCCTTTTCCCTGGCACCCCTTAGTGTAATGGTGTCTACGCTTGTGAGTCTATGTGTGTTTCTGTTTTAATATTTTATTATCTGTTTTAGGATTTTGTAGCAATTTCCTAACTAGTCTTCCTTATCTAAATTTGCACTTCTTCCCTGTCCCTTTATCCACCAATACAGTCTTTAAACTGAAAAAGTATTTATGTTTTCTATTATGTAAGTCTGTTCAATCACCTGTCTTGCTTTAAGCCCTTCAGTGTCTCCCCCAGCCCAGAGGGTGACGTCTAAGCCAGCAGGTCAGCACCAAAGGCCATTCTCCGGAGCCCTGCCTGCACCTTACCTCTGCCCATTGTCTCATCACACTTAAAGCTCCAGGCTGACAGACTGCACATTTCTGAGCCACGCATGGCATTTAACCCACCACCGTCTTTGCACGGAATATTCTTTCTATCATAAATATTCTGCTCCCACTAACTTGCTCCTTCTAGAAAACTACTTTGCAGTTTTTAAGATACAATTTTGAGGTTCCTTTCTCCAGGAAACTTTCCCTTATTCTCCAAACTAAGGCACTCCTTCTTCAGTACCATTTCCATATTTAAATATGCTTCTACTGCTGCACTGTGTATTCAGTGTTCTAATTCATTAGTTAAATGGTTCTCTCCCCTCCTTACCTGAGAACCGTTTAAGGGTGGGGATATGTTTTATTCATCTTCTAATCCTCTACATAATCACCTAGAATAGACTCCAAGCATAGAAGCTTGTGAATACATGAGTATTTCCTGAATTCAATTAAACTATGCTTCCAGAAACATGTCATATATAGGTTAGCTGTTTTTTCAATAAACTATTCATTTTAATGAGTTTATTTTAAATTTCATTTCAATTTTTCATCCCTTGACTTGCAAAATAAGTCTGTCACTGAGGAAGGGGTAGCAGGAAGACGTTCTTTAGTTTTAAATGCATCTTGTACAGAATTGCTTCCAACTAGAAATCATAACACTGAAAATGTCACAATAAGAAAGTTCAAGCAGAAGGAAGGAAAGCTTGGTCAGAATGGAACAGGCACACGGGTACATCATTGGGGACTGGTTAGAACCAGTCATGCTGAAATGCTTCTAAATCTTTTACTAATAAAATAAACAGTATTACATGGTTTCAGTTTCCTTGTTTAACGTCTGCCATCCAACAGAGGTGAAAGCATACATGGCTGAAGAAGAACTCAAATGCAAACCCAAGAAGCAGGACTCGATGAAAGACGGCCACAGCTGCAGAGGCATGTGGTGAGGTGGCTGAGTCAGTAGACCGGGAGCTGGAAGCCTTCAGTTCAAGGTCAGTGATTTAACTTACTAAATAGAAGCCTCTAGGCCAAGCCCTTAACTACTTTTAACCACCACTCTCACTTCTGCAAAGTGAGAAAATGACTCCCAAGGATGTTTAGTGAGGACCAAGCGGCCTGCCCTCCAGTGGGACCAGATGGCTTGTAGGTTTTTCAGTGTGTGTAGGCATCTCTCTGACCACCTCAACTCTGCCAGTGAAGCTCTTTCCGCCTCAAATGCCCTACCTCGGCCCAGCTCTTCCCCTGCTGAGACTGAAATAAAAAATATTTCCAGAAAGCTTTCCCCTACAGCCTCAGGAAGGACTGAACATTTCTGCATATAGTTTGTTTTCCACTACTTATTTGTTCATACGTCTGTCCACTCTTGGTAGACTGAGCTGATGGAGGTAGGAGTTGTGTTGTTCTCCTGCTCTGTGTACCAGAAGCTTCAGTCACAGTGTTTGACTGATGCTCGACACTCAATGCATGTGTGTGGAATGAAGGAATACACAAATGACAGATACAAGGAATTATCACCAGGGCCCATTCATTTCTGCGTAATGGCTTACTTCAGCTGCTGGACGTGCCTTCACATAAGGCCAAGTAGATATTCTTGTCATAGACTGTTCCCCCCGCCCCCCAAAAACACTAGGAAATTAGGGAAACAAATATTCTTCATGTCTCTGGAAATATTTTTCAAATAGCTCTTATCATCACCTGTGAGATTCTTTTCTCTTGATTTTACAAAGGAGAATGCATAGCACTCAGACAAGTATACACAAGTCTTATGTGTTTTTCTCCTACACTCTTTTTCCCCCACAGAGGCTAGCTATAAATAGGCACCTAAGAATTTCACCCTACAGTCTGGCAAATCCATTCTATGTTATTTCATTTCCAGAAAGAATTGTGCCTAAGTTGTTATGAATGGGCAAAGGTATTCCCTGGACTGATTTTATCAGAAGTTATAGAAGCAAACATTTCATTTCCCAGTTTTCTGAATTTGAGTCATAATGGTAGGACTGTCACCAAGACAACAGAGACCTATGCAGTGAACCTGAGAGAGATGGTAAACATCCTTCCAGAAGACCCACATTCAGAAAGCACTTCGCTGAAGCTTTTGGACAAAATAGGAAATTCTCAGAAACCACTTGAAAAGATGGTGGCACAATGACCACAGACACTGTGACATAAAATAGATGATTACCCCCAAAGAAAGCCAAAGATAATGAAAAGACGTGTAACCTGAGAATACTAGGAAAGAACGGAGGAGTCATCAGGCAGAAGATGGTACAGACGTGGAATATGTGAATACAAGGCTTCAAAAAAAACACTGGAGAAAAATTACAGGTAGGCAGATTCTAGTCAATACAGTGGGAAGAAAGTGGTAAAACACAGAATGAAATACCTTGAACTAACATGAAGGCCCACCTGGATGCCAAGTGGTATATTATATATAGATTGATATTTTTTATGTAAATTATTATATATGTTTTTATATAAACATTTTCATTTAATCCACTACAATCCTATGATATATAACCATCATTGTTACAAGCAAGAAGTGATGATATTTAAAAAGTTCATGAAACCTGACCAGGTAACAGAGAAAGCCTTGGGTTCCAATCTGCCTGGCTCCAAAGCGCCTTTTCTCTCCTTTCACACCAGTGAGTCTTAAGCACAGGCTTATGATTTACTTGGCAGCAAAGACAGAAGAGAGTCACAAGGCTGGAGCCTGAAATTCCATGAGTCTATGATTCTAGGACTTTATATAAAGCCATTAATGCACATTAAGTATGAGTTGCAAGCCAGTCTAGTTCATGGACAGGTTAAAAAAGAAACATAGTGTTCTAGAGAAATAATTAAGAATTTTGGGACTCAGTTGGAAATCTGATGAAAGGTACAAACTTTCTCCTCGGAACGCTTTGCATTTTAATTCAAGGTGCTCATGAACACCTTCAAGCTCTTTCATGGACATTCGTGTTTACTTATTACTTAGCTTAACCTTTTTCCAAGGACTTCTGACAATTTTAGCTTTTAGATTCCCCATAAATATGCAACCTTTAAAAATTAAAACTTGACTGAGGAAAACTTCTGATGTTTTGATTTCACGAAAAACATCAATTTGACCTCTAGCTAGCTAAGAGCATCTTAAGATTTGCATTTTTATCACCATATCCTTGCATCTGATTATTTTAAGAAGAAAGATATATTTGCTCCTGTGTTTTTCATAGCAACCTCTAGCTTCTTGAATGTCTTATCAATCTTTATTTAAAAGGAAAATAACTCATTTGTCTTGGATTTCTGTGCCTTTCTATACTATACAGTTTGTTTTATTTCAAAACATTTTTCTTGAGAATAATTTCTTTTACCTGTAGTTTATCAAAGATAACTTTAAGTTCCTATTTTTATCTGCCTTCTTTTAAAACGCCATTGACTGATTACGAGATTTAAGATGTGTGATTGTTAAAGTGATGAGTTTTCAGTGGCACATGCATGAAAGACCAGGAAACGCTACTATCACTGAACATCCCTGACAGTTCAGGGGGCCTGCATTTCCAAACGCCACACACGCGTTCACTTTCACTTTCATGGAAATGTTAATAAAAAGTCCCACCACTTAGTTCGACATACGTACCTATGTTTTAGTCAATATTTTACATAATCTCAAAACTAGCAAAAATAATCATCATTAACAATAATAGAGTTTAGGGCCAGCCCGGTGGCGCAGCAGTTAAGTTCACACATTCCACTTCTCGGAGGCTCAGGGTTCATGGGTTCGGATCCCGGGTGCAGACAGGGCACCACTTGGCATGCCATGCTGTGGTAGATGTCCCACGTATAAAAAAGAGGAAGATGGGCATGGATGTTAGCTCAGGGCCAGTCTTCCTCAGCAAAAAGAGGGAGATTGGCAGTAGTTAGCTCAGGGCTAATCTTCCTCAAAAAAAAAGAAAAAGAATAATAGAGTTTATGAAATTTTTCATAGAACTACCCCTGGAAATCAATGAAGAACATTCTGGTCGATCTATGTGAAGTGAAGGAGGAAATATAATATTCTACCATCTTAAGGCTCCCACCGTGCCTGGTATTAAAACTTCAAAATCATCTGAGCACAATTAACCGTCGTACACAGGACAAGATCAAGCTGGATTCAAGCGATGAAACCCCAATACCTTTGGGATCCTTTCTGCACACAGACCTCGCAAGGAGGATTAACTGTTGGAGAGGAGCTTCCAGTCCCTGATCCAGCTTCTTCCTGAACTGTATTCTAACAGGCATATGGCTCATCACTGTAGCTCTCATTTCCTTCAAAACTACAAATGAAATAAAATCACTAAAATAGACCACCGATTGAAGACACATTAATTGCCACATCCTGGGTAAACTGCTTAATTTCTTTAGGCCTCAACTTATATGCAAAGTGGGAATAACAATAGTACTTGCTTTATAGGGTTGTTGTGAATATTAAACAGATGAGCATATGAAGTGGTACATGAGATGAGCTCAATATGCTGCAGCTATTACCACAGCATAAATTTCTTCCCTGCGTTGCATCTCATTTTGCAGAAGAAGAAAATGAATTGGCTTGCATTTCAAACTGATTCCACAGCTTTCAGAATTCTTATATTTTATTGATCTATATTTATATATTATTAGTATGAAAAAGATATACACACGCGCTATCAAACCATTAAAATGGGTTAACATCACATGGCTCTCCTTTACAGGACTATATTTTGATACACATACTTGCTCTGGCTACAGCTTTGATTCATTTCCAGATTTAAAGGACACATAAAATGTGCTAATATACATAAGCAATTTTACCATCTAGGATCCTCAGTGTTGGTTTGGTTATATGGTAGAAAGCAAGAAACAGGATATTTGAGCTGAAATACGGCTTCTCACATACGCGTCCCAAACTGCACAGGCGATGTTTAACACTCAGAGTTCTAACGAGGCAGCTGTACGTACATCTTGAGAAAGCAGCCGTGGAGAGGCTCACTCTATCACAGATGGAAGGGCAGTAAATGACATGCTCACTGTACAGAATTCCCAGATTTTAAAATATGAAGGAGTTTTTCAATGATGAATGAGATTGTAACTAATATAAACTAACTTGTAAATAGGGTGATAATTTTATCCAATTAAAAATTTAAAAGACAGGGTATAACCTTGAAGGAAATTATGCATGCCCTAAGAACAAATTCATGCATACAGCTACGAAAGTAACTCACACTGGACTATGTCGATAAAAAGATAATCTATGGATACACACAGTATATATAATACAGACACAAAGAATACAGAAGATACAGACAAGTTTTACTTGACAAAACATTGAATAGACAGACAAGATGCGTGACCTGTGGGTTGTTGGCATTATAATAACCAGCCCACGTTATTGATGTTAAAGATCAAAATCCAGCCACAAGGGTGGAACTCCTGCAGCCGTGTTCCCCGGAGATGTGCAAACAGCCCCGAAGACCCATGCAAGCAGCTGAGCTGTCTTCCTCTGCCTAGTTACAGTTATATGCTCATGAGGTCTTGTTTTAGGTTGATTAAGGATCCTTAACTGAACCATAAAGCCAAATATTTTAAAGAAGATGGAAAAAATTACCAGAAATAATTCCAAATGCTTGATAACAAGAAATGAGGGGGAAAAACTAACAAACGAAAAGCAGCAGCTAGATAACAGGGCCAGAACTGTGCTTCCTGGAGGTAAACAATGGTGTTTGGCTAAGGGTTCCTCTGCCAGGTCTGCTCGGTCTGTAGGCATGACGCCACCCATGGTGTGAGCCCAGACACTTGCTCAGGGCTCTGGCTAGAAACACTTCTGTCTGGAGTGCTAAGTGTTCTACTTATTAATGTAAAAGAGTATTTATGCTATGCAGTACTTCTAAGATCAGAAAAGGAGCTTTTTGGAGGTGCACGGTCTAAAAGGATGGAGAGGATGAGAGAAAGAAGCACACCAGGAACAGGATGGCAGGTGTAGCCCAGGGTGAGAGCATACGGGGACCCCTATAATGGACTACATGGTGAGTTGTTTTCACTCTTGCTGCACTCCTCCCTGCACTAGTGGTCTTGCAGCTTTGTGTAGACCATCTAGCAGTCCAGCCCGGCCTCCCAAATCACAGGAAGGCACACAAGTAGAGTAGGGAGTAAGGAGAGCTTCGGCTGTGACGCATCTGAGCTATCGCCCGGGTGATGTGTGGGAGCACGGGGGGTGCTGTTTATTACGGATGAAAAATAAGCATCATCCAAGAATCCCTGTTTCCCCCCAACAAGAGAGAGATATTTAAAGTTCAGACTCCAAACAGTAAACTGTTTCTGCCAAAAGGGGTTTAAAATGCCAGGGCTCCTGACAGTGAGAGGAAATGGTGATGGTGCAGACCAAATGAAGCTGCTGGGACAGCACAAAGATGGGAAGGAATTCAGGTCGGAGGGGTGGAGGGCCTCATGGCCACAGGGCAACCATCACTTTAGATCACAAGAAAAAAGAAAAGCCAAGCCTTACTCAGAATGTAAAGACCACGTAAATAGGAGACTAAGCACCTTCTGTAAGTCAGCAATAGGCCTGGGCATTCCAGCTCCCAGGACAGGAGCCCTACTGGCCTCTCATAAAGATCTTGGATGAACCAGAACTCCTCTCTCCTGCCCTTCGGTTGTGACCTATGCTAGCTGCTCAGTGAGGAGGACACAGACAGATTCACGACCAACAGACTGTCCTCAGACGTCATTAGTGAGTGTGGAATTAGTCATTCTCACAAACACAATGACCTTTAACATACTTTTAGTTAAAAGATCTTTAAAGAAACCTCACTCAGGAACACCCTATATAACTCTTCCAGTCAAGATTCCAGGGCCTAGAGGCAGTAAAAGGAAGAAAGCAATATTCATGTTTTTACCAAATTCTTTCTTAGCAAAGATTCTTTCTCTGGCTAAGCTACAGGTTGTATTGACACCGCTCCGGCTGACCACCTGCCCAACCCTGCACTGATCTTTCAGACTTTGGACTCGAATTTCCTTCCTAGAAGTATTCTTCCCTGGCTTTCCAAACCAAAACTTAGATTTGCCCACAAACATTATTATAATACCCCTGGCTTGGCTAAAAGGATCTATATTGTCACATTTAACTAACTTCTAATTGACCTGATTTCAACATAAAAAATCATTCCCAACATGTAATTTGAATAATACCTTTACCTTGTTCATCATAATCTCCTGTGGGCTGTATTTTAATTGATCTTCAAGAAAATGATTTCAGACTGGGAAGATGTGCTCACATGTTATACATATGGAAAATGAGGCAGAGTTTCCTCATTCAAAGACAGCCAGCTAGCTAATCG